TGTTTCTATTTGCTCATTTTTAGGACTTTCTGGACAAACTGGACAAAACATTTCTGACTTGTCAGGCCTGCATGAGGTGTTTTTTAATGTCTTACGTCCCATTTTAAGTGCAGTTTTATTGGTTTGCACAGTCACTTCTGAATCATGTTTCTTCAGGTTTGTTGGATATTTTATGTTGAATTGGATAAAAAGAAAAGAAAGACACTTTGAACAGGTTGGACTTTTTGGGCCCGTATCCGAAACTTCGCGTGTCGACCTCTGAACCCTCAGACAGACCTGTGTGTTCGGCTAATTTGCTTTCATTCTTAAACAACTGGTCCTCACAGAGCTAGATAAACGAGACCACTCGTCTCACAGCAGCTGCTTCACGTCTCCTCGTTTGTTTGTTCTGGACGGCAGAAGATTTCTATCATGGTGAAAATGACAGAAACGTTTGTTTAAGGGAACAACTTGCTGCCGCCGCCTCTCAGCGATAAGCGCTGGTCCCAGTCTGAGAGTCATAAAAGCTGCTGGGAGGAGAAACGTGGGGGTTTAGGATAAACTGAGGAGGACGAGGAAAGGTGAATGCTACTAAAAATAACACAGAAAACTAAAAGCTGCTGCTTTAACCTCCTAGGACCTGCGTCCACATACGTGGACATCACATTTTGGGTTATTTAGACCAAAATACTCAGTTTTGCTCTACAAGGGCCTGATATCCACTTACGAGGACGTTATACTGCTGCTGTTCTATCTGCTAATACTTTGTTTTTACATTCATCAGCCCAAATATCAAAGAGAAATTAAAAATGCTGCTGTGGAAGAGTTCAGGTCTTAGGAGGTTAAATAACTGAAACTAACAATGAGAACACACTGGACTCAAATTATCTCTGGACCCTGGATCCTCAGCAGTTTGTTTGGCCCACGTGGACGTATTTCCTCATGTGCTCGTCATAATTATGAGGACTTTGTTTGTATTTTTAAAGTGTGACTGTCACAGTCAGTTCCCTCACATTCAAACATAAAGACAGGTTGAAAGTAAAAACCTGGAAAGTGTGATTGACAGATACTTATTATACGGAGCCCCGCAGGGGACATGGGAGAAAAAAAAATTAAGACGGACTTTTGCGAGATCTCGCAAAACTAACTCGGGATCTCGCAAAAGTTTTAGCCGCATTCTTCCCATTAGCTCGAAGCTAACGGGAGGTCGAGACCTACTACAGCTGGGAGGAACACCGCTTTCCCGGCACATCGTGCCTCGACCGCCCGGTCGACTTCGAGCCAGCGTCCGAAGAATGCGGCTAAAACGTTGGCGAGATCTCGCAAAAGTTTTGCGAGATCCCGAGTTAGTTTTGCGAGATCCCGAGTTAGTTTTGCGAGATCTCGCAAAAGTCCGTCTTAATTTTTTTTCTCCCATGTCCCCTGCGGGGCTCCGTATTATTATCATCATCATCATTAGAAAACGTTTAAATGTTTTAATTCCTCTGGTGACATCAGCCCGCGGGTCCTGAAGTCCTGTTTTTGACCTTGTGATGTGTTTTTTCATCATCGCCTTCGCCTCCATCGACGGGACCATCAAACTTCGAGGTTGTTGGCTGTTGTTGTTGTTAGATAATCCTCCTTTGTGAGTCTTAAAATGCACAATGTTTACAAAACTGACTAAAACTTTTATTCAGTATCATGTGAAACACGCGACCGAGCCCAGAGAAGCTGGGAGACCATAGATATCGCCCCCTGCTGGTCATAAGTCAGAAGACAGGACCTGGAAGCTACGTCCAAATTGTTATATTTTTATCTGCAGCCCAAACTCAGCTGGGGGAGGGGGCGGGGCTTCTTCTTTAATTTTCTCGATCAAATTACTGGATATGACTCAGATTAATGAATCCTGCACTATGAGGTCCAGATGTGCCCCAGTTGGGCAGCTAGTAGTGTGCCCATAGAAGCCCCTTTCTGAGGGTCAAAGGACAAAGTTGCTGTGAGCACAGCCACTCAGGTCAGTGTGGGATAAGTGTGGGTGGGTTTTTTCCCGCCCACACAGGCCCACAGTTCACCCACAGCTACCAAAAGTGGGTCCACACGAGGATGTCTGCTGGGTATGTGAAAGAATTTCTAAGGACTCACGCTCTCTGGACTTCCCATTTCGTTGGGGGAACTGTTGAGATCCTCCAACATGTTTAGATGTAGTTTAGTTTAGTTTTGGTTCCTCTTTTAGGTTTATGTGGATTAGATCCCATGAAAAAAGGATCCTCATCTGATTTCCTCTCACTGGCATTCAGGTCGCCTAAACAAACCCCACAACTCTGTCGTGTTTCCTTTCACGTTAACCATCACACACCGAGTTCTGCGGGAGTTTGTTTTGCTCTCACCTTGTCGGCAGCGTCTCCCATCGTCCTGACGGCTCTCTGCAGCTGCTCTCTGATCTTCATCAGGCGGTGATAAAGCTGCAGGCTGAGAGTCAGCAGGAGGCTGCGGACCCTCGTCCACACACCGGGCTCATCGCCGTCGTCTTCACTCTCGTACTGCTGCACCCTCAGCTCCCATTCCTGACCTGATGGAGGGCAGAGACGTTCAGAGGCAGAAGGCTTTGCATTCATAAAGGTTACAGCAAGCAGCCATCGAAAGTAACGTTTGTCAGAACTCATGCTGCAGTCTGGGCAGGACGTGCATTTCACATGACATTAAAGCATGTTCAGAAACTTCATGTCTGGTCTCATTTCCTGGTTTGGTCCTTGCATTCGACGCCCCTGACCTACGATAAGAAGATTTTAAAAACCCTCAAATGTCCTCGCTGTTTTAAAATTCCAACCAAGACAAACGTTAAACACACTCAGTCTAGAAATTTCCTCAGAGTGTCACATGAAGTGAGGTTTTGATCCTGTCACCTGCAGTGTTATTGGCGTCAACATGTGACACTGAGGACTCTGCACTCTGATTGGTTCGTTGGCTATTATCAGCATAAAGAGTCAGCAGAGCTTCGGCTCCCTCTGCTGGTTGAATTCTGCAGAAAAATATCCCACACGCACACACAGTGTGAAGTATTCTTATCTTGTGCAGACATCTAATTGACATAACGCCTGACCTTAACCATAACCCGATTACTCCAAAACCACATTTTGAGTCTCAAAAATGCTTCAAACTTGTGGGGATTTTTGTTACAGAAAAATAGCTGTTTTGCTAAAGAGCACTACAACCCTCCTCATACTCACGCAGTGTGGGTGGGAGGGGCAGGTAGTAGGCGGTGGCGTCCTCCAGGCGACTCAGCACGTCATCGAGTCCCGACATGGTGGCCTGGCCCACTTGACTGTTCTGCAGCTGCTGCACAGCTACCCGGCCTACGTTGGCCAGACGCTCCAGCTGATCCAGAGCTGCGTCCAGGCCGTCCACCACCCACAGCTGCACGTCATCCAGGGTCAGGAAGAAGGCGTCCTTCAGGTGAGTCATAACCTGATCAGAGGCATTTACAGCGATTTAAAGTCCCTGTAACATCAGGCAGCAGCCGTCCCTGACATTGTAAACTGTTTTTGAGTCGTCTTTGCACATTAAGCCTTTAACAGGCTCAGAGACACAGGCAAATGTTGGAGATCAAACTGATACGAACCACCTGGGGGCAGCTGAAGCATGTGAGACACTTTACAATTATCTACAGTCTGCCTGGTGAATCTTTTTAACTCCAGGTTTGGTTTCCACCTCCTCAGAGCAGCTCTCTGTGTCGGCTGCTGAGCAGAAAGTGCCCAGAGGCTTTCTCCAGGTGATTTCTGCCCCCAGGTGTCCTGTTCTAGACAAACACTTTACAAACACCTTTGAGTGATGTCTGAAGGACTTTAAGCTGGATGGAAAAACT